TTTAATACAGCCATTGTCAGTTTAACTCTGCACGAAGCACTATCCCTACACAAGTCTGTCCCTCCCCACCACACCCCACAAACTATCACAGTAAAATGTGAGAAAGGAAGGAATCATGCAAATAATTACAGCAGGCGGCACTAAAATCAATGAATCATAATAGCCACCCATTCTGTTACTGCTCCCATAGACTCCTATAGGTACATTAAGCACTTTGCTGGCTCAATTGTCTTTGTCTTCTCTCTGAACGACTGTTCCAAAGATTTGGAGAAGTCCATATGGGACAACACAGATCAAAGCCAGCAGATCCAATTCATTCATTCATGCATCTATTAATATTTATAGTTCCAAGTACTTGTGGGTTCTTCTGTGAGCAAAACAGATATGACCCCTGTTCTTATGAAGCGTATAATTCTAAAGTACAGAACCTACAATACCTTTAAAAGTCTCTTTAGAAGCATACTAACTAGACGACAATTATCATAAGTATATCATGAGCACTTGCCTTTTAAAAAATTTCTCTTAATAACTTTTCATTAGGCTAATACACAAAACAGGCATTTCTTCTAATTCCAACAAACCAAAAACTTACATAACCACAGATTTTTCTATTATTTTGTACTTTCTGAGGGAAAGAGACATATGAGAGGAACGCTAAAAGGGAATTATTTATTTGATAAAAATCCCAGGCCCCAAAACAGTGTCATTTTAGGCCTGGCCACAGCTTCTACAACTATAATTCTACATGCAAGATATATATGTGTGTGTGTGTATAAACACATACGCATATATACAGATACATATACATATGTTTTACACGCAAAACTATACATATATATCCACGTACATATATATATATATATATATTTATTTATTTATTTTATTTTATATATTTTTTTTCCCCAACCAACACTGCTTCCTAAGTAGAGTGGAACCTATGAAATGAGACCTGTTTCTTCTAGAAACCTTGTTGGATTCTGATATAGGAAGGTGGACCTGGAGTGAACTAAGTAGGGAAAAGTTAAATGGAGCTGCATAATAAAATTTAAAAAAGATTTGGATTTCAGGAGGGGGGAAGGGAGCAGCAATCAGAAAGGAGAGAAAGAGGAGAGGGAGAAGGGCACAGAACCAACCAGGTTATATGAGCCTGGTCTTCCCCTGTGATGGTGGCCAAAATGCATTTTAAAGATAGAGATGCCTAGGGCCGGCCGAGTGGCGCGTTGGTTAAGAGCTGGCTTGGGATGCCAGAGGGCCCCGGTTCGGATCCCACATATGAGGGCCAGTGACACTGCCCTCTACAGCTAAGATGCTGAACAACAGCTCGACCTGGAGCTGGGCTGCTGTGAGTCGCTGGCGACGGCGTAGGCTGCAGCCCCTGTGGCAGTGGGCTGCCATAAGCTACCATGTGTAGCCGGCAGCCAGCGTGAGCAGCCAGCAGCTGCCATGAGTGGCCGTCCAGAAGCCGGCGACTGATCTGCCTCGCCTGGGAAGAGCGCAATGATGGTGCCAGCTTGGGCCAGTGAAGTGACATCCTCCACAACTAGACTGAAGAACAAAACGACAGCAACTTGTCTGTTCCCCTTCCATGATTCCCCGATAAAATCTTTAAAAAAAAAAAGGATAGAGATGCCTAATATTCAACATCAACACGCCTGGCACTGCTACAGCATAAACCTCTCCTCTGCCTCCCCATTCTCCAAATCTTCCATAAAGTTTACCACACACACAGAAGCACTAGTTGAACTTTTTTTTTTCTTTTTCCATTCTTTCCCCAGCTCCTGTTGCGCACAGCTGTCCAACAACTTCATCACAGACATCTCAACCATCCATTAGGACCTTACTGGGTTGTTCCAAAACTAGTTATCTTCCCTTCTGCACTCCTACCATCAATTGTTTTTAACTGCTCCCTCTCATATCTTCTAACATTCCTTTAGCTCCTTAATGTCGTCACCACTAAAAGGAACAACTAATATTTATTGAGCACTTGTAACGTGCTAGGTACTCTGCCAAGGGTATTATGTGCCTGATTTCATCTGATCCTCAAACCCTACTAGACAGGTACTGTGATCATTTTCTAAACGTTAGGAAGCCAAAGCTCAGTCAGGATAGCAATTCTAAGGGTAAGTGATGAAATTCAACCCCTGTTCTGACTCCACAGCGAGCTTAAAACCAGCACACTCCAATGCCTCCAGTCAAAAACCTGGAATCATGCGTCTCTCATTAATCATATCTAGTCACTTACCTAGTCCAACCCATTATACTCCTAAATACCACATCATTTCTACTTCCACTGCCTTCACACAGAATAACAACTTGCATCTACCAAGTCCTTACTATGTGCCAGACACTATTCTAAGTAAAAACATGTTTTTCCAAGTTATAGTCCCCAAACCCTATGTAATGAAGAACCCAAGGAAAAAAGAGGTTATATAGTGAGTGACAGAACCAGATTCAAACACAAACAAGGTGAATTGAGAAGCCTGAGCACTTAACCCCTATAGTACAGCAGCTCCTACGTGTTTCCCTACTTCCCATCCAGACCCCCACCATCCTCCAGGCTGCTGCATATAGCTTTTTGGAATGCAAATGTTATCATGACATTCTCCTGATTAAAATTAGCAGCTCTGTATCACTGGCTGAATAAAGTCCAATTTTCTTAATTTGGCATTACAAAATCTTTCATGCTTCTGTTCAAGTCAGTTCGATAAATATTTGAGTGGCTACTGTAAGCAAGGCAAAGGGCTAAGTGCTCTGAAATGAATAATACAGCAGCCCCTGACTATTACTCCAGCTCCAGACACTGTGTACTTCAGCCAGAGTAACTATATGCAGATCTCATAATGCAACACCCTACATGCTAGTCCCTCTCCTTCGAATGCGCCTGGCAAAATCCCACACCAATTTGAGGAGTCAGTGCCTATGTGAGGCCTTTCCTAACACACTCCTGGCAGAAATGCTCCCTCTCTTAAGTTCCCACAGCACTTTGTTCAAATTACTTTTAAGTAGCCGTGGCCAGTGGAGTAGAGGTACGGATCAGCTTCCGTGAGAGTGTGATAACTCCGGGCAAGAGCTGACTCCTGCCAGAAATGCCTGGCATGCAATAGGCTCTCTACCATTTGCTGAATGAATAAAGAATAAAAAATGTCTAACCTGATGAGAAAAGGAATGAGATACAGAATTAGGAATGTTAACACACAAGGGGGTCAAATTAAAAGTAGTGTCTATCTTGGTTCCAATTTGCCCTACATTTTACCCCTATGGGAAAACTCACATGTGTAACTTGGACAAACTAAAAAGGCAAAACTTTTGTTATTCGTGGCTCAACAAAGCTTTGACAGGCCAAAAAGGATATTAGATCAAAGTCCATTTTCCAAAGGGGTGTGGAGATGGGAATCAAATCTATCAAAATAAATAAAATTGATCTACTGAGATCCAACTTCATCAGTGCTGTGTCAGTACAATGCAAGGGGAAAAAAAAATACCTGTCCTAGGATGAAGGCTAATTTACAAATACGAGATGTGATCAAAAGATACAGTGAATGTTTAAATTAAGAAAATTTATTACAGTAAAGGACACATTGCCATTAATCCCCCTCAAAATAATCCTCCTTGCTTCAAACACACTTATCCCATCTTTCTTGCCACTTTCTGGAAACCCTCTTTCATGAGTGTCTTTACTTCATCCTCCATCATGACAACGCTCTGTGTCACACATCACTTCTGGTAAGGCAATTTCTGTCAAATAAAAACATTATGGTGTGTCCTCATCCACCTTATTTCCTGGATCTGGCACCTTGCGACTTCCGACTCTTCCCCAAAGTCAAAATGACCATGAAAGATAAGCATTTTGAATAGATTCAGGGCATAGAGGCAGCCACAACAGCGCAACTAAAGACACGAAAGAGGACTTCCAGAACTGCTTCAGAAAGTGGCAAGAATGATGGGATGTGTTCAAAGTGAAGGGGAGTATTTTGAGGGGGATTAATGGCACTGAGTCTTTTATTGTAACAATTTTTTTTATTTAAGCATTCACCATATTTTTTTTAATCACACCTGGTAGGTACTACTGCTGCAAGAATGATAAGTTCTTACAGTGAAGACAGTTCCCATAAAACGGAGCTCACAACTGTCTCCTCCTGCACTGCCACTGTTTTTCACTCAACTTTGTTTCTGTTTAATGTGATTTAAAAATATCTATACGGAAACATCTATACAGTTAAGCCCATGTGTGAGTGTACTGCAGCTCCTGGCAGATACAGACGTCTTGATTCATAGCTTAAGATGTAAAACTGAAATATCAGAAAAATAACACTACACATAAGCCAAAAGTCCATCGCCTAAAACATAACATAAAGCTTCGCAAAGCAAGTGATGTATTTCCTGAATGGTGCTTTGTGTGCAACTGCTTCCAAATCAAGCTCCATATTTTAAATCCCCACCCCCTAAAAAGTCAAATCTCTCTCCTACCGTCTCTAGTCTAAGGGGAAAAGTGAGATATACAGGCAACAGGCTGGGATGGAGAGTATGATCTGTTTCCATTCTTTTCCAGGGGAACAAGATCCAACGTAAGACAGCTAGTGACACTCTCACGACAACATACACACAGGAAATAAAAACAACTCATCCTCACCTCTCCCTTCCCTAAAAAAAATATCAAACGATGCAAAGATCAGCAACACCGCCGCCAGAACCACCAAATGGTAACAGTCGGGGGCCGCTCGCCTCTCCTAGGCGCCTGCCGGGCGGCGAGCACTGGGCGCAGAGCAGCGGGTCCCTTCCTCCCCGGACAAGCGCGGCCAGCCCCACCACACCCCGGGTTCACGTTCCCCCGCAGCCCCCAACAAGCGAGGAGAAGAGGCGAGGTGCAAGGCTGTGGCACCGCTCCCGCCGCCTCTGGGGTTCGACGCTGCCCCACACCCCACCGACGTCCGCACCTGAGGCAGCTGCCCCGGACCCCGCGGGAAGGCGCGGAGCGAGGCGGGTCAGACAAAGTTACTCACTGGGAAAGAGAGGCTGCCCGGGTCGTGCAGCGGCACCCGTCGCTGCAGTCCAGCGCCAGCTCCTCTCTCTGCGGCCCGCTGAGGAAGCCGGGAGCGAGGCGGCCTCCGCTCCGCCGGGAATCGCCGCCGCCGCGGATTTCCTGGCAAGAAGCAAACTCTAGCCAAGACTTCACTTCTCAACCGCCCCTGCTGCCTTCCCGGGGGCGAGCGCCAAGGCCCAGCCGTCCAACCCGACACGCACCTGGGCCAATCGGCAGTGGCACAGGGCGGGGAGGGGGCGTGCTAGAGGGCGGCTCCGCCTATCCTAGGGCTCAGGGGGCGGGCCTGGCCGGGGCCGTCACTCCCGGGTTAGAGTGAGCCCACTCCACCCTGCGCCGCCTGCCCTCCCCCACCCGGTCTCTGCTGGGTTCGCCAGATTACCCCGCGGAAGACAGGCTCCAGAAGTGTCTCTGGGCTCCCCGCCGAGAGTCGCCAAGAGCGTGGAACAGAAGGGAGAGGCAGTGAACACCTAGGGGAATCGGGGGAGAACAGTTGGCAGGAAAGCAGAAACGTAGATGTGCTGGGCGAGAGGACAGCTGGGGTAGGGTGGTAGGGACAGGGTTGACCGGGGTGAGGGGAGCAGGGGAGCGAGGAAGGGAGAAAGAGTTATTAGCGAAGAATACCCGAGGAGACGGAGAGAGCGGAGGTACAAAGGAAGAAGGGGGCGGAGAGCGAGTCTGGGTGGAAAGGTTGCGGAGGCGGGGGCAGAGACACCTGAGAACAAAGGTGAGAGGGAAGTTTTGCAGGTGAGTAAGTTGAAGCCAAAAGGGTAAAGGGAAAAGGAAGTCCAAATCGAGGGAGAACGTACTCTGGGAATAGAAAAGATCCTAGCAGAGGAAGGATGGGAGGGAAAAGTTTCCTTCCAAACTCTCACTCCCCGCAAAAGATAAAGACAAACGTTTGTCTTTTGACCCCGCTGAGATGTGCAAAGATCCCCAGTGAAACAAATATCGTCTTAAACCCATCCTATTCAGTTGCGAATTAAAGGTGTATTTATCAACTACGGTTTAAGTCTGTCGTCCCATAAAAGCCCCCCGAGGGTTGGGGTCCCTGCTGGGAACAGCATCGTTCCCCATGGGCCTAGCAGCAGGTCAAGAGGTCCAATTATGGCCCTAAGAAGGGTGATTTGCAGAGGCAGGAGAAGGCCCCGCCCCCTCCTCCACCACCTGGTTGAGGTAAGGTGCCAAGAGCTGAGCTCAGGCGCCCACAGGCCCGTCGGGGCCTCGGGGTGGGGCGGGAGCCCGACCCCACATCTACCCGCTAGCTCTGCAAGGCGACTAGCTCGGGGAGTGCCAGGTGAGCGGCCCAGGCCTCGCCACAGCCCTCCTCGCACAGGGGGCGGAGTTTGTGGGCGGGGCCTCCGGGCGGAGCCTCCACGCCCCGCCCAGTGGACGGGCCTTGCGGCGCCGCTGCGGCTCCTCCTCCCTCCTTCCGTCCTCGGCTCCTTCCGTCGGTAGTCCCTTCCTTCCTGCTTAGTTCGCACGTTTCGCGATATGGCGCAGAGCCTCCCGTCCGCCAGCACCACCTGAGAATCCCGGAAGCTCCCCCAGCGATGGAAGAGGACCAGGAGCTGGAGAGGTAACGGCCGAGGAGGCGGGTGGGCGGGCGGGCGGAAGGAGCGGGCCGCGCCCTGAACCGGAGCCGGTAGCCGAGGGGCCCGCCGCCGGCTGGGGCCTGTCTCCGCGATCCAGCCTGGCATGGAGGGCCTGAGTGGGAGGGCAGGGGACGAGAGAGAAGTGGGCGCCTTGGGCGGAAGAGGGGGCCCCGATTGGAAAAGAAGGGAGGAGACAAGGATGTGTTTGAATAGAGACGCTCAGGATACTAGATAACCAAGGAAGGAAGATAAGTTGTGAAACCAGAGTTAGGTCCCCAAACTGCCCATCCCCGATTAGAACAGCAAGAGTAAATCAAGCTAACGTGTAAAATCACGTACCAAGTCACTGTTCCCGAGTGATGGTATTGGTGTGTTCAGTCAGGCCTAAGTCCCTGTAACTGGCCCAAGTCCCTCCTCTGTTTAGACTGCTAATAAAGCCACTCTGTGCGCTGAGTTCTCTTCCTTCTTCCTGATTGATTGACTCTTAGACTTTCCGTTCTAGTTTCCTTAGCTCCTGCAAATGGTAGCTGTAGTTGGGCCTGCACGTGATCATCTGTAGTCTCTGTTTTTATAATAATCAGTGTTTTTCTACACCTTTCAACTCCCTTTTCATCCTCCAGCAGAGCCTATTTTAACTACCCTTTTTTTTGGATTCTACTAAAAGAACATTTAGCAAACATTTAAGTTTCCGTTTTAAAGAGAACCACCTCCACCCCACCCCCACCCCCCTCCACTTCCCCAGCCATGTGGACGGTCAAATGGAGTAGGGAGAAACTGCAGGCAATAAATTATCGATAGAATATGTAGAGGCAGGAGAATAAGGGGATAATGCTAATAGTTCTATGTAATTGTAAGTGCATTAGAAGTGTTGCAGTTGTGAAATAGTAAATGAAAAGCTAGTTACAAAACCATATTCAGTATGATCTCATTTTTATAAAAAATATGTGTGTAGAAAAATATCTGGATTGAAGACTTCAATGGCTGAAGGCGAGAGGAAGACAGCCCTGGAAATGGTCCAGGCAGCTGGAACAGATAGACACTGTGTAACATTTGTACTACACGAGGAGGACCATACTCTAGGAAATTCTCTTCGTTACATGATCATGAAGAACCCGGAAGTGGAATTTTGTGGTTACACTACAACCCATCCTTCAGAGAATAAAATTAATTTACGCATTCAGACACGAGGTGCTCTTCCAGCTGTTGAACCATTTCAGAGAGGCCTGAATGAGCTCATGAATGTCTGCCAACATGTGCTTGACAAGTTTGAGGCCAGCATAAAGGAATATAAGGACCAGAAAGCATGCAGAAATGAATCCACACTCTAGTCCCTTATCACTATACAGGAAGGAATGTCTTCTAGGATATTCTCTTCGTGATCTTGCAAAACCCAGAAGTAGAAGTTTGTGATTACAACATGATCTGTCCAGAAAGGTGTGATTCTAGCTATTAACCCATTATAGCTGTTGGAATCCCCCAAGAATCTTTGTATTCTTCTAATAAATTCCCTCTTTAAACTAATTTGAGTGGTTTTTGTTCCTTGGTCCTAAAGGTTGACTGTTTTAGGGGTTTTCTTTTTGTTTTTGTTTTTTAATTTTTAATTGAGTCAGCATTGAAAGTGAGGAAATTGAGAAAGTCAGGGACCTAGACAAGCACTTCTATCAAGGGAATTAAAAGGAATATGCATTCATGGCTATGATTGGGGGAGAGGAGAGGTGCAATAGAGTATCACTCCAGGTAAACTGGTTGATTTAAAAAGAAGGAAGGAAAGAAAGGCGGGAGTTGGGGGGAGGACTTGACGGATGTTTTTTAGTAATTCATGAGAGAATTCATTCTTTGCTATGATTGGTAGATGGCAAGGGTAGGAATAATTTAAAAGAATTAGTGAGAATTCTGTTTTCGCATGAGAATTTTAGGTAATATCAGGCTCCATCTTTGTGGTATTATTTATAGGCTAGATACCAGCTTACTGCTTTAGTTTCAGGACACCTATAAAATACTTAGTCAGAAATGACCTAAGTAGGTCAGGAGAGTTTAGTTATATAATAGAGGTGGATAGCTATAGGATGACTAGATAACATTTTCAGCCCTTAGGTAGTTATCTAAGTATAAACAAAGTTTCATAAAAGAAGCAATATTTGAGAGAAAGTAAGGACAGGGGAAGGAAAATTCCATGTGGGAAAAATTATTTTGGGGGGGGGACTTTAAAATACTAAAAGCTTCACATCTAAGTGAAATTAAGTGAATCTTATCTAAGAGCTGTCCTATTTACCTCTTCAACTTTGTCTCATCCCTATCCTGCCCCAGCTTGACTCTTAATTCACCCTGAATATCTGTCAACCTTTGAAGCTGAGTACCACACCCCCCAGTGCTCTGTGCTTTGGGGCCTTTGTTTATGCTAGTTCCTCTTCCCAGAGCACTCTTACTTCCACCATACTCTAATTTAAGGACTTACATGTTAGACTCCCACCCTAGTTTGGATATGCAATTTCATTATACTCTTGTTTCCTGGTCATGGATTAGTATGTGATTGTTGGTGTGCTTATGTTGTCTCCCCACTGTACTAAACCTGCAGCACAAAGCCTGATAGGTAGTGAGTGGATCATTAGTAAATACCAGATTAATCCATGTAAGTAATTATGGCGTGTAGCCTTTTATTCACTCACATCAGACCTCCTGCTGGCCTGCCACAGAGCCTGCATTTTCTACACTCAATTTCTTTAGATAAATATATTCTGTATTGAGCACCTGGGATATACCAGGCCCTAGGATAGATAGGTCTTATTCTCATGAAGCATATGTTATAATAAGTGAAAAAATTTAAAGTTGTATTTCTGTGGGGGAAAAAATAGAGTCAAGATAGAAAACATGCAAGTGGAACCTGCTTTTGGTATGGAAGTCAGGGAAGATCTTCCAGAGATTACAGGAAGAGAAGGAGCTAGCTGAGCAAAAAAGAAAAACAAGCATTTTAAGGGAATAGTATGTGCAGAGGTCCTGAAGCATAAAACTTGTGGATTGAGGAATTAAATGTATTGACAGGAGATTTACATATCTATGGCATGGTAAGCAAGGAGGAGAACAAGAACCTATCCTGATTAAATGGGAAGAAGAGCTGGGATGGTAAGGAGGTGGATTTTAAGTACAATGGGAATGACACCTGAATACTTTGCTTACAGTGTAGGGAAATGAATTGTGTAGTGAGGCCAAAGTAGAAGCAGAAAAACATGAGTTGAAGTGGCCTGGAGGGGCAGTAAGCTAGTGATGGAGAAAAGAGGTGGATTTAAGATACATTTTTGAACCAAATTTGTATACAATTGATAGACCTCCGGAATTGGAAGTTGAAGGTGAGGAAACAGAAAGATGACTCCTACCTAGGTGTGGGGCCAAATTACTGAAATGAGAAACTTAAGAGGGAAAATCGGTTGGGAGGTAGAGAAGGTGACTGAAATTAAAAGTGCCATATTGAACAGAAATAGTAGATATGTGAGTTGGATGCCATGAAAGATCTACCTAAGCTAAAGAGCAACTGAGTTCTTGCCATAAAGGTGATGTAAATCCATAAAAATGAGTGTGAGGAAGTGGGCCCAAGACCAACTCCTGGGCAAGTTTCGTGTTTAAAGTTTTGGTAAAAAAAGCAACCAGGGCCAGCTGAGTGGCGCATTGGTTAAGAGCTGGCTTGGGACTCCAGCTCTGAGCAGCAGGGCCCCAGTTCGGATCCCACATGAGGGCCAGTGACACTGCCCTCTACAGCTAAGATGGTGAGCAACAGCTTGACCTGGAGCTGGGCTGCTGTGAGTTGCCAGTGATGGCGTAGGCTGCAGCCCTTGCTGCAGTGGGCTGCCATAAGCTACCGTGTGTGGCTGGCAGCTGGTGTGAGATGCCAAGAGCCGCCGTGAGCGGCCATCCAGAGGCCGGCAACTGATCTGCTTCAGCCGGGAATAGTGCAATGATCACAACACCAACATGGGCCAGTGAAGCGACGTCCTCCACAACTAGACTGAAGAACAAAAAGACAGCAACTTGTCTGTTCCCCTTCCCCGATTCCCCCAACGCTGTTCCCCTCCCACAATTCCCCAATAAAATCTTTAAAAAAAAAAAAAGCAACCAATCAGGTGGTATGAAAGTCTGTAGAAAGTTAGAGTTGCGGAAACGAAGGCTTTCAAAGAGGAAGAATGATGTCAAATGAGTTGAATGTGAGGATGGGAAAATGTTGATTGGAGTTAACGGTGGTCGGTCTCTGTGGACATTAGTTTAGTTCCTAAGGAGACTGACTAGACATTAATATGCACTGTACAGAAGAATGGCTTCGTTTGGGTTTTCCAGTAAGGAAAATATACTGGAGGACTTTTGGAGAGCTAAATTTAAGTGGCAGTGGGAATGAGGAAAGATCAGAGTTATAGGGCAAGAATAGAGAGTATTCTCCTAGGGTGATGGGAAGAGATTATAGAAAGCCAATGTCAATGTAAGGAGAGTCACCCTTGAAGATGTAAGGAAGTCCTAAAGGAGTAAGTGGGAAAGGATCAAAAACTTCTGTGCCTTTCCTAAAATTTTGCCTATGAGTAGTCCTATGGGCATGATAAATAGCATTATTTGCATGGAGTTGAATACCCCTGAACCAAGACCTGTCTGGAGATGGAAACAAAGTTCAATTAGTGGACATAGAGGTGTAGAATGATGATAGTAGACTGAAGTGATTAGTAATAAACAGTACATGTGGGAAATGCGCCTAGTGGTGACGATTTGCCGCATCCCATGGCTTCATTACTCGTAAACGGATTTGTTGTCACTGATCATGTGGCATGATATCTTGAATCTGTTTAGAGTAGTCACAGGTTCATACAAAACACCTTCCAAAGGCAGATGGGTGAAAGGAAAACTGAGGCTACGGCAGGCAGGATAACCAGGAGTCATGTACACGTGGAAGGAATCTTTGCATAGTCTGCAGGAACTTGAAGGAAAGCTGAATTAGCCTATAAAAGGGTGAGGGAGGTAGATACGAATAGTATTCATTTATAGAAACTGAAAATAACTTGATGAGTATCTCTGATAGCATTTCAGTCTTCAAGGCCAGAAATTCTGTTTAGCTGTAAAGTACTATGCCTTTTAAAAGCCAGTTATTAAATAAAACAATTACATACCAAAGGCTTTTAATAATTTGAGTGCTTACCTAGTATTTTCCATTTTCAAAGCACTTTATAAACTAATTATAAATTGCATATAGCTATAACAGCTAAGTGTTCTAATTGGCATAACACCACAGGTGCCTGCATAATCTCTGTAAAGATGAAAAGGTATCTACGTAAAAAGGCCATTCAATACCATTTTGACCCAAAGAGTGTCTTGCATCTCAGGAAATATGCATATTAAATTCTTTGGTCCACCATTCCCCATCCTTGTTTTTGTTTACCTTAAACATGTTAAGATTATAGATAGTCTCCAGGTCACTAAATAAAATTCATCATTTTCAGTTAGCATAATTTTAGAGTCAGAGACTAACTTTGTAATATCCCTCCAACTGAGCTCCTAGGAAATTTACCCGAATCCACCAGTCTGCTTGCAAGTGCTTAACGAAGATCCCAAATCTATCCTTTTAGAGCTCAAATTCCAAATGTTGGTTTTTCTTTCACCATTTGAAACTTTATATCTCAATACAGTTACTGGGTGTGCATTTTCTTTCCATAGTGAAATTCCTTCCAAACCTAGATTATTGGCTCTCCATACAGGAAGTATGTACCTAGTAGTGGCACAGTCCTGAGAGATGGTGGAGATAAGAGAATATAGTATGGGTCTGTCTTTTAAAAAGCCTTACATGGTTTCTGAGAGGAGAGAGTTGTACCCATGAAAAAGGAAGCAAATTTTACTTACCATCAAGTTCCCCAATGTTCAGTGTGGAGTATAATGTGGTGAACACAATGGAAATTAGTGAGAGACACTGTTGAAGCAGTGGTTGTTTCATGAGTACCCCCTCTGCCAGACACTGTTCTAGGCACTAGAGATAGCAAACAAGACGGGCATAGTCTGCCTTCCAGTAACTTGTGGAGCATTCTCTTTGGCAGACTGTAAAACAGATCTAGTGTTCTAGGATAAATGGTTTGCTCTTACCCAGTGTTAAGGAACCATTAAAGGTTCTTGAGCCATAAAAGTTTTTTGTTTTTTTCATCCCATGCCTGTGCAGAATGAATGAGTGGAAGTAAACATGGAAGACAGCGATGAGTTAAGTGTCATTTATAACAGTCCAGGTGTAATATAAGGAATGGAAGTAATAGGATGAACACCAAAATAATCTAAAAAAATTAAAATAACTTGGAGGCAGATTCTGTATGGGGTAAAGGTAGCAGAAGGTTTGAAAATGGCCCCATACCCATGTCTTTTACCCTTTTGTTTTCCTACCACTCCCTCACAACCAAAACCAGTATGGCAGGATTTACCATCTCCTCTCCAACTTATCCTTGCTAATAGGAGACTGTGGGTGCACCCAGCCTTGCCTTCTTCCTCCTCCCATGTCAGAAGAATTCGCACCA